TGGTCTATTTACATAGTTATAATTGTGTTCTGCAAATTTGTTTCTAGTGAATGTTCTTTGTTTTTGTATCGGTTTCATCATTGGTCTAAATGGTTGATAGCTCACGTGTGCGTATCTTGGTTCAATGGTGTGTTTAACCGTAGATTGTAGTGTTACTTGTGGTAAAATTGGGTTTTTTGGTCTTGGAGTTGTAAGGTTTGGATGTATTGATGAAAAACTTTGTTGTGCTGTTGTTACTATTGTGGTAACTACTTCTTCATTTGTGAGATGTGATGAAGCTTGAATATCTTGTTGTGTGAGATTTCTAGTTCCCTTTAGATTTTCTTGTTGTATGACAGTTGAATTTAGGGTATTATTTTGTGTTCTATCGGGTAGAAATGAATTATAGTTTAAAGGTGTCGAATCAGTTGTGAGTGGGTATATCTTAATATAATCTTTGTGTATAGTTGTTGTGCTAATGGCTTGACTTGAAATATCTGTTGGTATGTTTATGATTAATGGATGAGACCATTCAGAGTGCCAAACATAATCTGAATCTTCTGCTAATGCTGTATCATTGATTGTTGAATTTTGGAGTCTGAAATTTTTTCTTGATTGAGAAATTAAATCAATTTTATGTGTGAAATAATCAATGATAAACCATGCTAAGATTTTTTGTAAATCGAGTTAATCTTTTTAAACTTTCACGAATTTTGTTTAAACTTTCACGAATTGTGTTTAAATATTCAGAAAATAAGGCAATTTCATGTCTTACAGTTGTATGTTTTGATGTTTGAACTGGTAAAGTTCCTTGGGATTCTGGTTTTTCTAGTATAGATAGATTGCTATAAATTGTCTGAAATACTTCCTTAGTAAATATTGAATTTGCTCTTTGTGAATTTTGGTGTTGTATATTTTTTATGTATTCTGTGAATACTCTTGAAAATTCTATATCTACGTCGTCTGTTTGAAGTAGATATCGACCATGAAACTTAGTTGGTGTTTGTTTTTCTATGGTATAGATTCCGTACTGTTGTGTCAGGTTAAATACTCCTTTGAGGTAGTGATCGATAACTTGTCTTTTGGTTTTTACTTCTGGAAATTCTGCTGTACATGGAATGGACTAACTCTTCTTTCAAACAAATTTGCTATTAGATTTTGACAAATTTGTGTTTGTTCTCTATTATCAGTGAGTGAATTGGTTAAAAATGGGGAGATGGAGTTTTCATCTTCACTTTCTTCATTTTGACTCATTTTTGTGCTTTATTTCTGTCAAATTATAATTTTCAATTTGTTTTATTGGTTGATTCCATTTGTATAGACGTACTGGTTTTTTTGTATGTGTTTTTTATTCTGCGTTTTCCTTGTATTGATGATTGAGATGTGGCTTCTGAGTCAGAAAAATATAGTGTATCAATATTCTGATAGTTTTTATTTACGGAGTCTTTTGATCTGTAAAGTTCTTCTGAATGATTTGTTTCCGATTCGGAGAATGCGCTTCTTTGTTTTGAAAATCTTCTTCGTGTAATCTGTCTTTGTTTGCTTAAAATTTTTCTTTTGATTGTCGGTCGTTTTGTTCTAATATATCCTATTGACTGTGTGTGTGGAGTGATTACGAGGTCTTCTTTTTCGTTGTTTATTTCACAATTGTGTAGTATGATTATTTGTTTATTCCCTAAATTGTCTAATGACATAAGTCTTAGGATGACGGATGCAATATTTGGATTAGTGACTTTTAATGCTTAAACTGTTGGTTCTTACGTTTTCCTTGTATTGATGATTGAGATGTGGCTTCTGAGTCAGAAAAATATAGTGTATCAATATTCTGATAGTTTTTATTTACGGAGTCTTTTGATCTGTAAAGTTCTTCTGAATGATTTGTTTCCGATTCGGAGAATGCGCTTCTTTGTTTTGAAAATCTTCTTCGTGTAATCTGTCTTTGTTTGCTTAAAATTTTTATTTTGATTGTCGGTCGTTTTGTTCTAATATATCATATTGACTGTGTGTGTGGAGTGATTACGAGGTCTTCTTTTTCGTTGTTTATTTCACAATTGTGTAGTATGATTATTTGTTTATTTCCTAAATTGTCTAATGACATAAGTCTTAGGATGACGGATGCAATATTTGGATTAGTGACTTTTAATGCTTAAACTGTTGGTTCTTACAATTTTTGGTTAGCCTAACTTGGGTCATATATTTTAGGGTTGGAGAGAAAAGTATATATCGATTCCTGAGAATGATTGTTACTTTCTCGTGACTAGTCAAAGTTAAGGTGTTAACTTACTTAATCTTACTTAGGGGTAGTGATTGTGTTCAAGGGTTGGAGAATAGTAAATCGATCCACAAGGTTCAGGTATGATTAAGACACAAGTAGTTCGTTATATACTATTTCAAACTTACTAAGTTTAAATATTTTCCTGGGCCAGGTAAGAGGGGGGCGTCAAGTGAAGGATGAAAAACCGAAGTTCTTCACTGTTTTTCTTAATTGGAATGGTTAGTGTGATTTTAAAAATTTCTATTAGTCTTGTGTCTTGAGAAAATGTTGGATAGTGAATCGACGTTTGAGGTCATTAGACACTTTGCCAAATGTGTGGGGGAGAACAAAATTGTTCTTTTCGATCCAAGAATAAGCCTTGATGATCAAAATATAAAATTAGTGAAATTAAATTTAGTTTAAGTAAAAGTGATATAAAGATCCAAGGAACGCCTTGATGATCTGTGAAGTTTGAAAGGTTTAAGTTAAATGGAAATAAGAATTAGGATAGGCCTTTATAAATTCAGTCAAGGTTTATTTAATTTAAAAATTTGTATGTTAGTTTTTGATGATGTTAGTGGGTTTAAGATTTGCTGTTGTCTTTTGGGTGATGAAGCTGAGAGGAAAAAATGATTTGTATTTTACTAACAATTTGTGTGTTTACTAACTAATTTTTGTATTTATTTTCTTTAAACATTTTTTTCTAGATATCTTTTTAAATTTACTGCAGATTTAAGGAAACGACTAGGGATGTTTTTATCAATCGTTATTGTACAATAGTAGGCTTAGCGCCTGTAATTATCGGTGAAGATTTTTCTTCAAGATACTATGTTTGCAAATGAAAATCTACATTCATTGCTAATATAACTCTAAATATAAAAGTTTGTGTTGGCTTTTGCCGTACTACCATGAAATTTATGGGTAAGTTCCGTCGGAGTCGTATATCGTCTCTTGTCCGAGGTCTTTTTCCAATACCGGGTAATTCTCGTATTGTTCGGAATAATGGCTCTATTGAGTCGTAGAGGTATTTCAATTAAATTATTGTCGTGTAACATTTTTGGGAATGTTTTTGTCTAAGTCTAATCTATTTTTGATTAGTTCTGAGCTATTTTGTTCCTTAAGGTCTTATTCGAGACTTATGGTCGCACCAGATGAGTTGGGATGGAGGTCTAACTGATAGAGTAATTTCAGATAAGGTACACTGTCTGCTCGTCACGCTATCTTATTTTCGGCCGGATAGATTCGTGCAACTTCTTAGTCTGAAACCGATCTTAATCTTACTCTTATATCTCTTAGTCTCAATAGATCTAGAGTATACTGGTTTGTTACGAGTCGGTCTCTTGGAGAAAGCAACTAGGTTGTAAGTTAAATTCAAAAAGCTCTGCTGCTGAAATTACAAGTAATTCCAGCACTTACAAATAAGTGGGTTGTTAGTTAGATGAAGTGTGATTGGTTAGTCTTTATTATTTTATAGGGATAAAACATCTAGTTTATAACCTTTAATAATATATAGTTTGGATCAGGTTCCACTACGCCCAATTTTTCACACAAGACGCCATAATTCTCAGAACTGTCCAGTTTTGGATTAATTACTCATTTTTCGGACTTTTGTCGCTTACTATCCTGCCAAATCTGATATCACAAATCATGCGTTGAATCGAAACAACAGGTTGCTGAAAACGTATCTTTATAATTGGATATGATAAAAAAGTTACGGTCTTCAAACAAGTCGAAGTTTTGAAACTTTGACAGTTTTTTTTGCAAACTTTTTGAATCTACGTGAATATACCGTGCTAAGTCTCAGGTTGTAATCATTCGAGAAGCTCGCTTTTGGGAATATTCTCTGCTTAAGTGACCACAACCTGTTCTTGGCAGAAAAAGCTATAGATTTTGGAAATAATTTTGACCATGTTCAAAATTTTTTGAATTCTCTTAAAATTTAATCAATCAAACTTGAAATGAAAAATTCGACTGAAAGAACCACTTGCAATGATGGTTTCTGCAGAAATGGCGGCTTCTTAATTGTTTTGTACGAGAAATTTTATCTTTTTCGGAAAAATGATTTTCTCATTTTTTCTACTCTAACTAAGGTTTTAGGTAAAGTCCAATTTTTGTTTTCCATTTTTAGTGCCTTATCACTATATAAAATTCATTCAATGTCAAACACATGCCCCCAGTTTTAGCTGGGCCCTTAGCTGTTTTTATCGAAAATTTTGGTTCCCCTAGTTTTTTCAACATTTAGAGTTTTTTATATTGTTTTTCAATGTTTGTGTTGTATCGCAAGTGGTGCGAGTTTCCGCTTAGCCTCTGCAAGAATTATGAATGTGGTCGGAACAATCTGCGCGTTTTGCCCAGCAATCGGCTATACTTGTCTTAAAATTGCAATTTATTTACTTTGCGTCAAAGTTCGATTGAATTAGTTTAGGAAACTGACAGAAAAAATAATGAGAAAATAGATAAGATGTGTAGAAACTGATTGCTTTCATCTTGTCATGTTTAAAATTTGTGTCAGATAGTTTAAAAATGGCCCATACCGGGACATTTTTTGAAAATTCCTTTTTGAATTCAAATCAACCCCCCCCCCCAGTTGGAATTTGAAATGCTACCAAATTTGACCCCCTACGAGCGTTCGTTGAAGTACCTAAATTTATGCAAAAACTTTCAATCTAATCTATAGCTTCTTACATTCACGTCATAGTTTCTTACATTCACGGTTGGATTGTTCAATGAGCTAAAGTACATCTTTTTCCGTTTTCTGTTGATTTAGACATTGGTCAGATGGCACTGGAGAACGAGGGGATCGACAACTCTGCTCTGGTCCTCTACAACATGGAAGAGGCACTCTATCTGCTACCGTAGGAGACATTGTTGTTACTTTCATGTACTTTTTTTTATCCCGACCACATCCAGAGACTGGAAAGAACCATGGAAGAAATGAGTATTTTAATCACAATTATTACGACACCAAAGAACAGTCGTTGGCGGCCAAAGATATTGCCACTAAAAGACAGAAAAACAGTTCCAAAATGTAATCGACCCGGTCCAGCTATGTTTCAGCCGGCGTGACTAATTTGTGTGCACTGATTATTTCGATTTTTTAGATCGAAACTTTTTTTCTGAGTTACTCAAAAAATGTGTCAGATTCCACAAAAAGTATCATAATCTGACCTGTTTGCTGCTAAAATGCCGCGCATTAGTAGAAAACTGAAAAACTGCGCGTTAGTTATTCCAAATTGAAACCAAGGATAGCCGGTTACTGTGCAAGTAGCACAGAATGTTCCGACCACGGTCTTAGAAAAATACAGTAAAAAGATCTGAACGAAAAAAAAACAAAGGCAAATTGGACAGTCTTACAACAAAAAGCCATTCGAAAAACAGCTTTTGAATAAAATTGACGAGAAAAACGAAAAAAAAATTGAAGAAAACAATTTAAAAAAAATTAGTAAAATTTTTTCAAAACTTTTTGCAGAAATTTATGGCACTTTTAACCTTTATATACCAAATGGGGATAAAAAAATTCCAAAAACTTCTTTTGTATGAGTAAAATTAAGTTTTTGCGGCTTAAAGTAAGCTTAAATAAGCTATTGTAAGCCTACACGCTCACACTATATTAGTTCTAAATTAGACCAAAAATCAAAAATTTCAAACCGATTTTTCTCGACACTGTGAAAATTTTTTTGAAATTTCAAAATGACGTTTGAATCAAAATTGAAAGGGTTTTATTATGATTATACCACTAGACCTATTCCATTAATTATTTGTGTTACCTGATTTTGCGTGAAAAACAAAAACTAAACAAAAAAAACTAAACCACCCCAAAACAAAATTCCTCCCCATTTTTCAAATGGTTGGAACAATTACCCTCGTACCTCTCCTAAAGTTGGTCACAAGTGAATTAACTTTTCAAATTTGAGCTCAAGTAAACGATATTTTCAAGCTGTTAAAAAAAGAATGCAAGTTAAAAGCCGAATTTTGGTGTAGTATTGAACTATTTGAGCTTAATTATTCCAATGCATTGGTCTATGTTTTAATAGCTTTCAATTTCAAAAGTTGCTCAAATTCATTATAAAGATAACCTCCATACCAAAAGTGCACGTCATAAAACTAAATAAATATTACCATATTATAGAACTAATATGGTAATATTTATTTAGTTTTATGACGTGCACTTTTGGTATGGAGGTTATCTTTATAATGAATTTGAGCAACTTGAGCAATTAGACCAATAGTCTAAGATTTCAAACCGATTTTTCTCGACACTGTGAAAAAAAATTTTGAAATTTTAAAATGACGTATGAATCAAAGTTGAAAGGGCTTTATTATGATTATACCACTAGACCTATTCCTTTAATTATTTTTGGTACCTGATTTTGCGTGGAAAACAAAAACAAAAACAAAAAAACTGAAACACCCCAAAACAAAATTCCTCCCCATTTTTCAAATGGTCGGAACAGTTACCCTCGTAACTCTCCTAAAATTGGTCACAATTGAAATAACTTTTCCAATTTGAGCTCAAGTAAACGATATTTTCCAGATGTTAAAAAGAATGCAAGTTAAAAGGCGAATTTTGCTGTAGTATTGAACCATTTGAGCTTAATTATTCCAATGCAGCTATTTCAAAAGTTGCTCAAATTTTTTATGAAGTTACCCTACATACCAAAAATGCACGTCAAAGAACTACATAAATTGAGTTAATGAAAAAAATATTTATCAAACAGTTTTTAAAATGTTCTCATATGATAAAAATAGGTTAAAAGGAAATAAAGACGCAGGTAAATGAAACTTTTGAATATCACTGAGTGTTATCAGAAAATTGTATATTTTTGCTTATGGCTATAAAGCCTCAACTTACAAATTCCAATAGTTGAAAAACAAAGCGTGTTATTTAGAGCGAAAAAAATTTTATTGACCAGTCTGAAAACCAGCAAATTCAGATTTCACACAAAACACGTTTGTCTTCATTTTTTCTTTTTTCTTGATTATATTGTAGAGAAACTGTAGAAAACCGACTGTGATGCCATTTTAAAGTCATGCAGTACGTGTCGATTTCAAAATACTCCTACTAGGTGTCGATAAAAATGGATCTCTGATTGTATGTCGAAGAATTAGCCATTGCTAGTAGAAAATTGCATATAATCTGTTTTTATAGTTCATTATAGTACTTTTATAATAAAAAAATTAAGATATTTTTGTCTCAACACTCCTTTAAAATTGATTATGCAACCCATGATTTTCCCTAAAACAAATTAAAATTGAAAATTGTTATCAAAAACATTGGAATATAAATTGCCTGGTGAAAATTCTGTTTTGTTCAAAAAAATTCAAAATGCTCTTTGAACAATGAAGCTCTTTTTCAAAAAAAAACTTGATTGAAATTTGTTTATGAAAACTGTAAACTGTGGGATAAAAAAACTTTCAATTGCATAGTGATCCGGCAAAAGCGACCTGTGCTCTGTTCTGGTCGTTTAAAACTGCTGTCGTGCAAATAATTTTATTAAATCGGAAACGGCATAATCCTAACTTTAAATAACGAGAAGTTGTCAATCAAGGTCGGCCAAGGCCGTTTTATGAACTAGTTTAAAGAGCTAAATAAAACAGAAAAGTTTTTTTTTTGCGGGCTCGAAACTGCGCCGAATATGCCGGGACGCATTGTGTATACGCTTGGCTACTGTTCCTGTATGCAACTATAGTTCGAAATTGTTCTTTATGCAACGATAGTTCCAACTTGTACTTGCTCAGCAACATTCTTGCCCCCGAGGAGGCGAGAACCGCAGCAAACGGAGCGAGCGACGTTATCGTTGCCGTTGTGTAAAGCAGTAACTCGACCTAGAGGGTAATGCCCATGAGGGCTGCTGGGATCGACATTCCAGACGAGATCACTAGTTCGTAAAACGCGGCTCAAATCGGTATGCCACTTTTTGCGCTTGTTCAAGCAAGGGACATAATCCTTCAGCCAACGCTGCCAAATAGCATTTGCGTAGGCTTGTGCTCTCACATAGCGCTTTCGGGGGTCGACGGAAAGCTAACAGAGTGCTCACCCAAGAGAAAAAGGTTAGGCGTTAAGGCTTCCAACTCAGTTGAATCGGAACCAACAGGCGATATTGGACGGGCATTTAATGATTGCTCCACTAAACAAAACGTGGGCGCAAACATCTCATCCGTTAACCTGCGAGTTCCATTGACTGCGCAGAAGAAGCGTTTGCAACCGCGCACTAACCTTTCCCATAACCCACCATGGTGCGGCGCGGCGATTTTGTTTCCATTAAATCCCCTCATGAACTAACAATGCGGGAGCCTGTCTGTTCCAACTTTGTACGCAAAGCATAAGTTCTTTTTCAGCTTCAACGAAATTGGTACCGTTGTGTGACCACACAACAACACTTGGCGTACTACAAACCATCTGCAAACCAAAAAAGCTCGTCAAAAGGTTGGAAAGTTTTCTAAGACCGCTCCTAGCAAAAACCAAATTAAGTCACTGGTATTGACAAAAACAGCAAAAGTAGTTTTGAATGGCAAAAAACTCGGCCAATCAGAAAAAGCAGAGATGAGGAAGCTGATTGCGTAAGGTGGGTTAGTAGGGAGGGATCGGCGGCTTTTTAAGTACGGTCCTTATTAAATTAATTATCCCTTTCTCACTCTAAATCTGCGCCCTGGTTTGAAATGAGAAGTGAAATGAGAGTTTAAACAAAACATTTCGTAATAGTGAAGCTAAAGCTCATGCTAAACGTACTTTAAATGAAATGGAAGAAATTATATTCTCTGAAATCTTGCTCTCCATTCCATCCCATTTCACGAAATTTGAATCATAATACTTTCGAGGACAAAAAATACAAAATTTTGATCAACACAGGTGCTTTATCACATTTGACTTGCAGTTCCTGAAAGAAAAAAAAACAAAAAAGTTTAACAAAGCTTCACAATTTTTTCTTCGTACCGAGGTAGCTTCAAAAATCAGAAAAAGGTTTACTTTGAAGTTTACTAATAATGCCCCCCCCCCCAGTTTCTTCCAACAAAGAAAAATTTTACCACATTATTTGAAATATAATTATTTTGACTGAATTCGTATTCAAGCATCTTGAAATCTTTGTCAAAAGTCACTGGAATCAAAAATCAAACCTTAATTTCAATCTTTCAATCCCCATGCGGCAAGAGCTGATGTCCATAGACGGAACAAGTTCGATGTGAACGGGACGGTTAGTCATTCAGGTAACAGAAAAGCCGATCTTCTTTCACTACTGTGGCTAAGAGTCACGTAAAATGGACCAAAATAATCCACACCACAGTTACTCTAAGGCCGATGGCGGTAACCAAGCCGTTCGACAGGGAGGTCTGACATCATAGGATTTAAGGTTTTTGCCTTGCATTGTCTGCAAGCAGAACAACATAGTTAAATTGTACGAAGAGCCGCTCGTAGGCCCAACACTACAAATCCCACATGTACAATGGACCGCAGTTAATCCAAGTGTTGATGGTTGTGGGCAAAGTGGAGATGCCTCGGAAACATTTTCACCAATAACTGACGAGAATCTAAGAGGATGGGATGCCTACTTTCAAAACTTTTTTCGGCTAAGCGTTGAGTCCATCCCGTGGAACGAATGATGCCACTGGGGCTGATAAACTGTGAGTAACCTGCAATGCGACAAGATCTTTTTATGGGTATGCCAGATTGAAGTTGTTTGAACTCAACCGGGAACATTTCGGATTGCGCCAAAATTGACTTTTTTTTCGCAATTACTAATTCGGCCGGATCAGTTACGTGAGAGTTCTGCTCGCGAAGTGCTTGTGGTTCGGCAATGACCTCAACATAAAGCAAACGTATCGCTGCAGTTTCGTAAAACTACTGTACATCTCCGAA